CTACCATTGTAACCTACGTATAGTTTGCTTCAAATATTTGTAAGGGACATTAAACTCTCTATTTTCAAGAATATTAAGTCTTCCTTTGTTTTAGTTTACGCAACGTGCTCTAACCAACACTTTTACTCATTATATTACTTCATTCATTTAACTAATTACTTCATTCATTTAACTAAATTATATATAAAGATACACTTCATTTGTCCGAGATACACACTATAAATCATGAATTTTTTTGCATGTATCTATACTACTTTATTATCTAAGACATGTGCAACACAATATTAATGCTACAAAAACCTTTATTACTCTTCAACAATAGATCTCTTTACTTTAACAATGATGTCTACATTATCTCTCCGAGATACACTTCATTTGTCCGAGATAAACACTATAAAATATACATGTTACAGAAACATTTATTACTTTTCAACATTAGATTTGTAATCAATGAGATATACAATGTTTTTTTCAAGATACACTAACCTATGACACATTTTTTCATGCTTCTATAATACACAAAAAACGTACACATCATGTATCCAACAAATATGACTAACCTCTTCTTGTCTAATCTTACAACCTTAAATTGAAATCGATTGTCTATAGCATATTTTTGCATTACAGCCACAATAGTACTTTTGTCCTTGTACAACTGCTTGATTTTAACTACTTTGTGGCTACGATCACAAATAACATGATCCGAATTACTAACCATAATGCATTTACACTACGATTATCTACAAGAGCTGCTACAGATACAGTCCCAACTTCAACCATGGATGTATCTTGGTCAAAAGATATTTCACCATTGTTGTTGCATCCAAAATTTTGCTTTTCCGTTGTTATGCATAATGGATACAAACCACAATTGGATTGACGCCTTTTCAATTCCATAAAAAACCTCATACCCATCTCATTTCGAATTTCCATTGGAGTTACATTGTCTTCCATCATGTATCTTATCTCCATTCTTTTGCGTGAACAATCGATCCCTAGTTGTGTTGAAATACCATTGACTAGATCATTGTCGGTTGCATTCTCTCTCAATAGTATTCCATCAATTCTATAATTTGTGTAATCGCTTTCAGAGATCCACGAAACCGAATGTCGTAACAATATGGTTATATTCGCCATTCAGACAAAATAACTTTGAAAATTCAGTATTCAAGGGAATGAAGCGAAGAAGGGGAAGTTTAAAACGCCAGATCTGTTAATCTATGCGATTTAGTCCTTTTTCAGAAAGCTGTAACAGTTTGATATCAATTAATCCACCTAATTCGTGATTTGTTACATCCCAATTTTAATCCTTTTATTGTGGAATTAAGTTACAACATTCAATTCAAATTAATTGAATAATGTATCTCTTCCCTTTAATTATGGTAGATACACGTATCTAACCACTTTTGATTCGTGTATCCGACTGAAAAAAGTGGCATAGCAAGTAATTTAAAAATCTACCGAGATTCTAAGTAATTATAATATAAAGTAGTGGGATTTATGTAGTTTGCTCTTATATATTTTATTTCATCTTCCTCGCTTGTTGCCACTACGTCTATGGAAACAACAAGACCTCAACCCTAGTTCATTCCTACTTCTCTCTCTGTCACGCATCCACACCCACACTAGTGTCACGTCGAGACAGGTTTGACAGCCAAAATGAAGAGTTAGCGCAACATAGGTTTTAACTATGAGCTAGTAGGATGGCCTCTTGATGATCTCATTGGTAAGTTCTCTTTTTTTCGTTTTGGAACGGTAAATTTTATCATCATAGAATAAAGAGAATGCTATGGAATGTGCAACTTTGTAGGAAATTTACTTTAACTATTTTATGGGGAAAAACCAAAATACTACAACAAGGATAGTGTTTATCTTTGATTCGTAGGCGGAAAATCCACAAGACTGCTTCAAATTGATGTTTGAATACAGCACTGCCTATATAGATCAAGTTTTGCGTATGCAGAGGTTGAGAGCTAGTTTTGCATCTGCCAAAAGCAGATACAAATAGCTTACACCAACAGCCAGTGTACTCTCTCTATCTCACTCCCATCCACATATTCCATTTCAGAAGTCGTTAATGAAAAGTTACGTCATAATAAAGTAATAGCCACAAAAAAAGGGTGTTCATTGTAATTCTTCAATAGAAATTTAACATGCTGTAAAGACCCAACAAGAAAAAAAAGATAGTACAAGCGAAGTTTCAGTTTTGATACCGGCTAGTAGATGAACCGAGGAACTCCATGTGGGCAGCTGACAATTCAAATGAAAAAGGAGATGTTCTGTCATCCTCTGGTGGAACAAAGACTTCAAAGTCACAGATGGTTGTAACGAGTTGCAAACAAAAGCATAAGGAGGAGAAGTAAAACTCTCAAAATCTCAGGAAAAAGACCATTATTGAAATAGAAAAATAGATTATACAGGTTTGGTTTTATTTTATTTATAAATTATGCAAACAAAGATATTGAACCACTTATATAACACACAATATTTTTACAATCATTAAATTTTGTTCTGGAACAAATTTGCTAAGATATATATTCATGAAAAATGAAAATTATAACGAAAACTGCACCTACAAGAAGAAGGAGAAGAAATCAAAAGGGCTTTGCGATTCTTCTTTTCAATTCAGGAAGGGTCCTGATGGGAAGCGAGGCAAACGGAAAGGGAGAGTTGCGCCTCCTGACACTGTCGGCGTTTGAGGGCGGTGCCGCCACTAGAACAGAGGCTGCGGACGGCGTCCGATTCTGCCGGACATATAACGGCCACCATACACTCTGCCAGCGACCGGTTTATATGGCGGCATGCTAAGTCCCTCTCCCTGCCGGGCGCAAACCGGCGGTGGCACCTAGTTAAGGCAGTGTACAGCCGATTACAATCCCCTCCAATTGAGGGTTCTCTGCTCGACATAGTCCTCTGTCTCCGATTGATTGTTAGATCTGGGAATGCTTTTGAAGAACAATTTGGAGAAATTTATTGTTACTCCTATTTTGTCGAAGAACTTTTCGCAAGACTCCTTTCAAACTAAACAAGCCAACAACACAAATACGGTGTTGCTCAACTTGCCAAAACTTCACAATTTGGCCAATTGAGATAGAAATTATGATATATAATCAAATTGAAGTTTTGAAACATGTAATTTAAATTTTTTAAATTGTATTTTGTTTTTTGTTGTACATAAACTTGAAATTTTTATACATTGTTAAAATTATCAAAATTATTTTAATTCTTTATATAATTTTATCAAATAAATAAAACTTCTTGACAAAAGTATAAGGCACTATTAAAAACTATTCTAAAATATAATATTTAATGATCAAATTTTATTCCAATAAAATATAAAATTGCACATGATGTGTTTGGTAAGATGGAAAATATTTTTTGGAAAATATTTTTCAATTTTCTCATGTTTGGTTGACTTAAATATTTTCTAAATCAACTTATTTTCTTCAAATTTAAGGAAAATAACTTTCCTTCAAAAATTAAAGAGAACATTTTTCAAAACTCTACTTCATCCTTTAATTACAATACATTTTTCTATACCCTATCCCTTACCCCGTACTCGATCGCTCCATAATTAAAATTATAAAAAAATTATATTTTAAATTTCAGATATTTTTAACCCTACCCCTAAACTAGCCCCCCTCCTCCAAACAAAAAAATTATAAAAACTTTAAAAAATATTTCAAATTTTAAGATATTTTTACCTCACCCTTCCCCTACCCCCACAAAAAAATTGTTTTGAAAAAATATTTCAAAATTTTAAAATATTAGTTTTTACCCCACTCCATATCTTGACCCCACGCCTCCTCCCACCCTTCATTTTTTTTAAAAAAAAAATGTTTTTGAAACCGTCAAAAGAAAATTTAAAACAAATTATTTTTAAAAAATATTTCAAATTTTTATAGTACGCAACCCTTACCCTCAGCCACCCCGTCAAATTTTTTAAAAAAAATTATTTTTGAAATCAAATTTTTAAAAAATAAAATCATTTTTATGCCAGCCCCTCCCCCCACGCACCCAGTTAATTTTATTTTTGAAAAATATTTCAAATTTTTAAATTTTCATTTTTTTACGCCATCTCTACCCTTACCCCTCCCGGCCACCCCGTCAATTTTTAAAAAAAAAATATTTTTGAAAAATATTTCATATCGAAATTCTAGGTCAGGTCCTGTGTCAAATCTTAGGGTCGGATTTTGGAATGATCGTCGGGGTCATGTCCTAGTTCGGGTGTCGTGGTCGGGTCCTAGCTCGATTATCGGGGTTGATTTTTGGGTCATAAATTATTTTCCTAAAGAGTATTTTCTAGTTTCAAGCCAAAGCTAAAATATATTTTCTAGAAAATGTTTTCCATTCACCAACCGAACATTAAAAAAAAATTTAAAAATATTTTCTACTTACCAACCAAACATGACAAAATAAATTAGAAATCAACTTGGTTTCCAAGAAAATATTTTCATTCGTACCAAACACATCCTTATAGTGACTATATTTATACATTTTTGAGATCCTTTAGGGGTGTTGCTTCAATTTATATTTCATCCTTTCATATTAGTTGATCACTTTTCATTTTATATGGTACTTAAGAAATCATAAATAAAAAGATATAAATCTACATAAGATATAAGTCATGTTTTTTAATTTTGAATTTAAACCATTTCAACGTTAGTTTGCCCATATAAATCCGTATGACCTATAAACAAATCAATCTATATTAAAAATTGTGAAAAAATAATGACAAATGGACCCATATTTTTAAAGGCGATATATTATCTTTCAATCATGTATAATCAATTCAGTTTCGAAAATAGAGTATGCATTATACCGATCTCGAAAGTTTCATAGGTGAGTTTTTAAACTTTAAAAATAGAGTAAGCATTATTGTGAGCTTTTAATTTTAAACTTTAAAAAAACCAAACAATAATTTGATTTTTGTTTACTTTAATTATCCAATAATACTTAAATTTGTAAAACTCCTATAAAATGAGAAAGGAGAAAAAAAAAAGTTATAACTTTCCTATAAAATTGAATATGCAAAACTCAGATTTTGCCTGCCTTTAGAAATCCCCCATAGAACTCCTCTCCATCTCTCTCTCACACACACAGCAGCGATGGCTTTGAGGTCGTGTGCATCGAAGCTTATCACCTCCTCCCAAACCGTCTTTTCCAACTCCGGTTTGTTCCTTCCCCTTCTTATTCTTGTTTTTATTTTCAATTTTGTACTGTATTTTATTTTTATTGTGTTCTAGTTGAGAATCCACCAAATAAATCGGAATGAATATGTTCTTTCGTGTTTGGTTAATCTATTGTGATTTTTATTCGATATACTTTGATGGGTTTTTATCTATCTTTAGATCTATTCGTTTTGTGAACTTCTCTGCTGATTTGCTTGATTGAATTGTAAAATCCCCACCCTGCCCAAGAGAAAATAAAAAGAAAAGTTTTATCTAACCAAGTGTGTTTGCATACAGAGGAAAAAAGGATTATTTTTTGGGCCAATGAGGTGTAGATAAAATTGTTAGGCTTATTAGGTAGCATGACCGAAAGATTGCAGGTTCATGGCTGATCAGGTCCATCACATGGGAAAGTATACGTGGTTGACTAGTAATAAAGTGATTAGTAGAGTATCGATCCCACAAGGATGTGTTGTTAACTATTTATTGAATACAAATTATTTATTCATGCCATTCCAAGAAGTGAGTATATCTAACTAATACTACAACGACACTGTGAAAGATGCAAGTAATAAAAATGAGGAGAGTTCAAGAGAGTGTGAGATCCTACAGTTATGGTAGCTAGCAATCCTGTTGAGTTATCCATGAGAATTGACTAATTAATATCTAGTCTACTAATCACAGGGTTGATATTGCTTATAGACTCTCCCGAGTCCCTATTCACCTATTCAAATTACTCTTTAACACATATATCCCTTTGGAATTATCATTAATAAGACCATATTTATATTTCCTATATCTAACTAAGCAAGACGAGTAGATTCATTTCTATTCTAAACGAGAATCCATTTCCCCATGCCCAGGTTCAAGAACAAGGCCTATCCAATCTTATATGCAATATATGATAATTGAGAACAAGATTCAATAACTAAATCAATAGGATGAATCAATATAATCAAGTCAAGTACAACAATCATGTAGCACAAACCTAAGAACTAACAAATTACAAGTGAAGATATAGAATAGCGCTTAGGATCGTTGTCGCTTGAGGTGTTGTTCTAGCCCTCATCGAATCTCCTTTTTGTCTTCAGTGTTTCTGTCCTTGAATTTCCTTTTTGTCTTCGGTGATTCTGTCCTTTAAACTAGTCTAATCCCCTGAATATATGACCTAAAATTCATGTACAAGGTGTATTTATAATGTGGACTGGGAGAAACTCTCTACGATTCAAGCACATTTCCTAAACTAAAATGGACTCCAGAAGGGCCAAAAATGATTTTGTGCACTGTGCGGTGAGTGGCACTGCGCACCAAGTCAAAACTTCAGAGACTTGAATTCTGTCAGATAGGACCAAAAGAAAAAAATGCACTGGTGCCCCACATGGGTTGGCATGTGGCACCCGAACCAGGCTAATTTTTCGGCTTTTTTGCTTTTCTTGGCTGGCGTCGTGCACGCTTTGTCCAGTGACCTCCGGAGTCCGGACTTGATCCAAATCAGTTTTCTTCGACTTTTACTCAAACTTCTATACTGTATCTGATCCTTTTTAGCTTCATATTAGTCCAAGTGCTCAAAATCTAAGTTGCTTGGACTCTTCACTTTTAGTGCCGCACCCGTGTTGACACGACATGGGTGTGGGTATGGGATCCGTGTCCGATTTGGTCAACCAATTATGAGTACTTTGAGCCAAAATCGATGGGGTAAGTTTGGACAATTTTAATGATTTCTGTAATCAATACAAAAGCTAAGGTGAAGTTGTAGAAAATGGATTACCTTTTACATAGAAATTTCTATGTCACTCCTTTTCTTTTAATCCCCTTTCAGGATTCTCCTCAAGTTCTCCATACAATATCTCATTTTTTAGGTTTTCTAACTCTATTTTTAGATATTTTAATTATTTTTAGGTGAATCCCCGCACCCATATCCCTACATGGATCCATATCCTCGAATCTTAAAAATTAGATCATGAAGGATCCGACCTCTAGATCCGCACCTGTATCAGACACCCGCACCCAAGTCTAAGCAACTTAGCTCAAAATCATGTCCTTTCCATGCCTCATACTTCTACTCAGACTTCAAAGCCCGTTTTCGCCCAATTTAGCTCCAAATCGTCTTTTGTTTTGCAAAATCATCTCCTACACAACAAAATGTGAATTTTAAGTATAAAGTGAATAAAATTAACTTAACACTAGTAAAGTGATCATATGTGAGGCAAAAGATAGCTAAAAACGTGTGCTTCTAGTCGCGGATCAATCATTCACTAATTACATTTCTGGGTGGGTTTTCCATTTAAGTTTGTCATTTCTCTCCCAAAATATTCTTCTGCTATTTATGGGTGGGTTTTCCATTTAACTTAGTCGGGGTTGGTGGCTAGCTTTAGTAGGATAGCGAGTTGCATACTGCTTTCTCTATACAACAAACTCAAATATGTATAATTTTGCTTATTGGGTTTTAAAGGCGTTTAGATGATTAAAAGTGTTGCAGGCCTTTAATAACTAAATAAAAGTGCCACCTGTCTTGTAATTTGTACTCCCTGGTGGGGCAGCTCGTGCAATTCAATATGGTATAAACGCTGGGCTTCGTCACCCATCTACTTTTCCCATGTTTGGCCAGGGTTACATGTAACCTAAAATAATTAAATAAAAGCAAAATGTCTCATCTTGGAATATCTTAAGCTTTTAGCTGGAAGTGTTCACAATTTAACAAGGTGTTGTATTGACAATACTGCAAGGTTCTGTGCCTTGTCTTGTAAGTCACACATCCTTTATCAAAATTTATGAGTTGCAATTCTTAATTTAGTGACTAAACACTTGAACAATCATAAATTTATGTTGGCCATCATTTGTTCTAGCTTGATGAAAGGGGTTATTTTTTGGACCTCAAAAAATTGGATCTGGCTACTTTCGAGTAACTAATCTCTTCATTTCCTCCAACATATTAGTGTTTTTGCTTTGCCCCAACACTCCCTCCAGTCAGTTATCTGTCTTCCATGCTTCCTTCTCCCACGACCAGATGAGAATTCCTAGAATCCCTCCTTAGTTCAAGTTGAGGCTCCTTCCTATCAATTGAGATTTAACTATGGAGACTTTCCGGTGAATCCTTCGCTTTTTATAATCAAGAAACCCCTGAGGGCTTGTGCCTCATGATATGGATAATGACCCTACCACTTTACCCTTCTCCATTTTAATTGATATTGAGCTTTTTTATGTGGCAGGATTCGAAGCCATGATGTGCGCATAATTCACACATCACATGTTGTGCTCTTAGACCATCTCCAACCCCACTCTATTTTACTCTCCATTCTCTATATTTGGAGAGTAAAATAGAGAATTGGGTCTCCAACCACTCTTTAAAAAACTCTCTATTCTCTATTTCACTTTTTTATTATTTTAATATTATTTCTATTATTTGTAACTAACATATTATTTTTCATATAAGGCTATTAATTAAATTTCTAATATTCGTAATTCTTTTTAAATATTATACAATATTTTTAAAAATATATTATTTAATATATACTACTTTCAGCCCCCAAGGCCTAGCTCAAGTGGTAAAAGGTGGAGGATTTGTGGCTTAGGTCGCAGGTTCAAGCCCCACACCATGCAAAGCGAAGCCCGGTATTTAAGTGGAGAAGGGTAGAGGGGCGGGCCCATTATCCACCGAGTTTAGAAGGCTGTGATTGGTCCAAAGGGCGGGTCACAGACGGATTTCTTGGTTATCAAAAAAATATATATGTACTACTTTCATCTCGAATTAACAATATTTAAAATATTTTTTTTTTCAATTTTCGTCACTTTAAGAGATAATTTGATATTATTATTGATTTTCACTATCAAGAATGCACAAAATTTAAATGATAAAATGAAAATTTTAATTTAAAAATACAATACATCACATAATAATTTAAATACAACATAACAATACAATACATAACATAATAATTTTTAAAATCACAAAAATAATTTAGTAATCCAGTAGGTTGTTTTCAGATTTAACAACATTCGGAAAAAAGATAGTTTATGATCTAGAGAATTGTTGTGTTTGTGATTGTGGTTGTGGTTGTTGATTTCTTTTTTCAATTTTTCGTAACTGTTCTTTAAAATTTACAATAAAATATAATTTATATTAAATAAAGAATTTTAAAATAATAATAATTTTATATTACATGAAATTATATAGGGTGATTATTTTGAAAAAACAAAGAACGAATTTATATTATGAAATAGAAATAGAAATAATAATATAATATTGAGGAGAGAGAAAAATATTCTTTTTTAGAGAGTAAAATAGAGAATTGGGTTGAAGTTAGTTGTCTAAAAAAATAGAGAACTCTATATTTGGAGAGTAAAATAGAGTGTAAGGTTGGAGATGCCCTTACCACTAGACCAAAGCCCTTGGGGTTTTTTCCCTTTAATGTCATTGTATTAGTGGCTTTTTCTTGTTCTTTTTAGTCCAAAGTAGAGAAAAATAGGGTTTTCACCTAAAGAGAAACAAAATCAGTGTTATAGAGCTTGTTGGAAGATTTATTTGTGGTGGACAACGGATTATACCTTGAGCAGCTCGATCTGTAAATTTGATACATTATACAACAATAATTGTGCCTTAGTCCCAAACAAGTTGGGGTTGGCTTTATGAATCCTCATTTCTTCATTTAAGCTCACATCATCTGTAAAGGTGATATACCAGTCTGTGAAATTCCAACATATATTATTATCTGCTTGGCCTATCAAAGGTGAAAGAAACTATAAGGTCATGTTTTTTCTTTTTCTTTTGGGCTTGAATCGGTAAACTTTCATAATCAAAGTGCATCCATGGACCATGATCCAACACAGAAGAAAGGGAGGGGATTCTTTTCTGGCAGTGGAGAGGAGATAGAGGAAGAGAGAAAGCTGTTGACATTGTTTGAAGTGTTTTTTGAGAGAACATAGTTAAAATGTTTGGATTAACTAAAAAATCTGAACGTACTAATTTGTTAAAGGAATGCTTGTAATATCTTTGAGAGAGACTCAAATGGAGGAACTGGAGAGATTAGTAACCAGAGAGGAGCGGAAAGCGAATATATCATCCTTATTCCTTGGTTGAAGCTTGTTAGTTGTTGCAACAGTACAAATCTTGAAATCTGTGCCCTTGTATTTCTTACCTCTTTTTTCTCTTCCAAATGTCTTGGTGAACCTGCTGCAACAAAATCCATGGCAGAAGTAGAGCCAGGGCATTGGAAATCAGTGGGGCTTAATTGATTTTGCAGAAGAAAGAGATCATATGAATCATTCTTACGAATCAAAAGTTGAAAATACAAAAATTGTTTACCAAGTATCCTCTAGAGTGCTTCATAGGACTTTGTTACGAGTACCATGAAGCTTATAAAGGCCTTGTTTGACAGCACTATTGAAAGACTTGATGGATCTCAAATGTGTGATTTCTTTCGTCGATGTTTAACAACGTAAATTACATGCACATGAGTTACTGGGATTGCTAGATGCTGTCTTTGAAATAATTTTGTTAGACGTGATTATTGCAGATAGAATTGAATATACTTTTCTTACGTTAACCCTCTTGCATGTCATTAGAAGCATCTACTAAGAAAAGCGCTGAAGCTCCAAATAATCCCTTTCAGGCTTCAGGCCAAATAAAGTTCATTGTACTCTGTGTCTTTTAACTTGAACCCTTTAAGAAGATAGCGTGTTGTTATTGGCTGAAAAAAGATACATTGTATGTGATATTCTACATCGAAGACTTTTGCACATAATTGCTTCAAGATCGTTTATAGCTGAACATCACTAACCTTCCAAGTTTAGGTCTTTGGTTTTGGTCAGGACTAGTCTATTAAGATGGATAGTGGTGTGCTAATATATCCCACTAAATCATTGAATTTTTACTCCGTTTGCTTCGATGGACCATTCAAATATGAATGTTTTCCCAAAATGGTAAAAAATGTGGCCCTATTCCAATAAATGGGGTTGTTAGAAATTAAAAATTTTTATTCTCGAAAAGGTGACTATAAACACCAAATGTATGCGTTTTCACCATACAAATATAATTTCTGACAACCCTTTTATTGGACTTGGTTCACATTTTTCACCATTTTGGGGAAAAAGTTTTCCCAAGACTCCACTTGTTAGATTACACCAGCTATGTTCTTGTTGTTGTTATAAACCAAAATATGTAATACTGTTTAAAGAAAGAGCCAAAATATGGAATAATCAGTTCAAGTGCTGTCCCATTGAAGCAAATTCACAGAATTTCTTTTCCTTGTTTCTATCTGATATTTGAGAACTTGTCAAGTGAATTTGTAGTATCCTAGTGACCCTTGAAAATTATATTTATGTTGACAGGAAAATATATGCTTTTTCACCATACAAATATTATTTCTGACAACCCCATTTGCTGGAATTGGTTCACATTTTTCACCTTTTTGGGATAAAGTTTTTCCCAGACCCCACTTGTTAGATTACATGGGGTATGTTGTTGTTGATGTTATAAACCAAAGTATGTAAATACTGTTTAAAGAATGAGCCAAAATATGGAATAATCAGTTCAAGTGCTATACCATTGAAGCAAATTCACAGAATTTCTTGGCATTTTGAGTGCATCTTCTGGCGTAAAGCAGCATCTGGTTTTCCTTGTTTCTATCTGATAATTGAGAACTTGTCAAGTGAATTTGTAGTATCGTGGTGACCCTTAAAAAATATAGTTATGTTGACAGGCAAATATATGCTATTTCACCATACAAATATCATTTCTGACAACCCCATTTGTTGGAACTGGTTCACATTTTTCACCATTTTGGGAAAAACTGGGTATGTTGATATTTTAAAACCAAAATATGTAGTACTGTTTAAAGAATGAGCCAAAATATGGAATAATCAATTCAAGTGCTATCCCACTGAAGCAAATTCACAGAATTGCTTGGCATATTGACTGCATCTTCTGACGTAAAGCAGCATCTTGTTTTTTCTGTTTTTATCTGATATTTGAGAACTTGTCAAGTGAATTTGTAATATCCTAGTGACTCGTAAAAGTTCTAGTTATGTTGACAGGTAAAACCTCATTTACAAACTAGTGGCCCTAGCTTGTCATTTTGGATGCATGAAAGTGATGCAGTTTCTCCATCTATAAGAACAAGACTGCTCTTGAAACTTTGCTCATGAAAATATTGAGATGAGCGGCAGAGAGGGGTGTATCTATAGGTAGCCTGAAATTTCACTAAGGGTATTCAAACTTTGGATTGAAAATTCCTTTTTTTCCCAATGATTGGATGCTCCAAAAAAAACAATCGAACTACACAATATTTAACTAAAAAGGCAGCTTAGGCCAAGTTTTAAAGCAAAAAAAGCAAGGCACAAAATATAACAAATATGTAGACATAGGAAATCGAACTTGAGCTAACTACAACTTTGTGCACACGGCTGCTGAGCTGCTGCTCCCTATTGTGTCAAAGGATGGATTTGCATTTTTGGTTTCTTTATTTAGGAGCTTAGGTCCAGTTTTCTGTTGTGTCAAAGGGTGTTCAAAATGCTTGATATATGAATATTAAGCAATATTTGACCTCTATACAATGTAATTTTCCAGCTAAGGGTGTTCGGCTGACTATCCTTGCACACACTGTAGCTCCACCCCTGACAATGAATGTATGATAACTGTGTTTTCATGTAGGTTTGTCCATGTGTTTGCTAGTATTGTACCTTTTTAATAGAAAGGGAAGATGATATTGATGTAATTCTAACTGTGTCTGATTATCAACTCAGGTACTGTTCCCCAACCTTTGTGAGAACTGAGAAATTTAATAAGAACCATCCCTGCAGTAGCACTGCTTTTATCAGACTAGCAACAAGGTCTATCGTGCTTTGACTATCTTTTCATCTGTATAGTGGCAAATAAACTTTTGTTTCCCTCTGGCCTCTCTTTAATTAAAATGGCTGCATCCCATGAATTGCACGAACTTTCAATACTGTCATTGGGACTATGTTAGTCGTTTCTTTTGCTTTGGTCCTTTGAAACTTCCCTTTGTTTAGCTTTGAAGTTTAAAAGCTCATTGTCTTTGCATCTGACTTTCTATAAGCAACCTTTCATTCAAGTTCCAAAAGGTTGATGCTTTTATACATCTCATCTTACTGTATGTTTAAAAACATTTTTGTTTCGACAGTGAGCAGAGGAATCCATTCAACTAGCGTAACAAGAATGGGAGGACATGGCCATGATGAGCCATTCTATCTTCATGCTAAGCACATGTACAACTTAGACAGGATGTCCAATCAGAAGCTGAAGATGACCCTTGGTGTTTGGTCTGCAGTCGCCATTGGTGTTATAGTCCCAGTTTATGCTGTCGTTTTCCAGCAAAAGAAAACTGCTTCGGGTTAGATCAGCTTCTTATTTGGGCCTCCTGCACAATAATGCAGTTCAGCGTTTATCCTTGTGAAGACCAAAACCTATTTGTTTTAAAGCTTTTAATAGCTTTCAGTTTTAGTTTAGCTATACAATGGCGTTTTCTTTTCTTTTTTCAACGGCAACAAAGGCGTTTGTGCCTGATTCTTAAATAATATTTTCTGAAAACACCAACTCAATTGGAGTGTTTTGTTATCCCATTTACTGCAGATTTTCTGCAGTTTGATATCTTTCTTTCTGAATGACTTGATTTCATTTCTGCGTCGATTTTACGTTTTTAGTTTTATCTTTCAAAAACACCTAAAGCAATACCCTCTTTGGTCAACCACATGCAGAATGTGTGCTAATTTCAGATTTGATTTATCTGTTCATAGGTGGGTAGGTGTAAATGACAAATGTTTATAAGAATTTTTTTTATTAAATGTAACGACACGACCTGGTACATCGTCTAAGATAATTACCAGTAAATGAGACAGAATAATTAGGTGATACTGCATGAAATAAAAATAGATGAACAAAATAATTTGACAATACTTTAATACTTGAATGAGTATGAAAATGGAGTGGATGAGTTAATAAAAAGAATTGCATGTAACATCCCGCCTTAGAAAGAACTATTTTTGGAAAGAGTAAATTTGGAAATTTTGGCAAGTCATGCTAAGTATGAGTTTTCGATCAACTTCAAACGACCATAACTTTCAGTACAGGATGAGTCAGGTGGCCTATAAGATATCAAATGAAAGGTCTTGGAATCCTCTTTCCAACGCCGTCGAGTTTGCTAAATTTTGAGCTCGTATGAGGGAGATATGCTTGTTTGAAGTCAGACAATCCAGTTAAGGAAAGTTATCCGAAAATATGAGGGGTATTTTGGTCTTTTTCTTACCCTTTTCAGATTTAAGTGTTTTTAGTAAATAATTAGGGGTCTAAACTGATTTGGTTCAGTTTTTCCAAACCAATTTACGCTTTAGGGTTTTGAGAGGAGAAAATAGAAAAGTCAAAGGCGTTCATCAAGTTTTCTTGCGAATCGAAGGTTGTTTCCCCAAAGGTTTAATCCCTAAGAGGTACACGAGGTTTCTCATAGTGATGAATATGTTCATCTGCACGCCAAACATGTATTTCTTCCAGTAAATCATCCATGAAATCGTTATGTATAGGTTCTTGAGGAATTCTTTAAGGTTTAATTACTTCATTCTTTATCAATAAAGTCATGTTGGATTGTTAAAGTGAGGATTTTGCGAATGAGTGTTGTTCTTGGTGTAAATTGAGGGAGTTTTCGATGATTTCGTTGGGTTTATGAATCTAAATGAGTTTGGGAATGAATCATTCGATTCCAAATGGGTAGGCCATGAATTGAGCAAGAAAAACTCGTCAAAATAATGGGTTTGGGGTGGGGCATATCACCCTTAAGGCGCTAGGGGCTAATGTGACGCACCTGTAGAACTCCCAATCAGACCCCTAATAAATGGGGGCCTGACGTGACGCACCAGTAGAATGCCAAATCAAACCCCATTAAATTGGGGGGCCTGGCGTGACACACCAGTAGAACGCCCAATCAGACCCCAGTAAATGGGGTTGGCGCGACACACCAGTAGGACGCCTAATCAGATCCCCAGTAAATGGTTCCTTCTCTGTTCTCATTCTGTACTTGTTCCTTTGAGTTGAGTTGTCATTCTCTTCTTATTATCAACTATCTAAACCTCCATTAATCATTGAAGGATCTTATGCATATTCTAATTATCATTCTTAAACTCACATTTTCAAGTCAAGGTAAAGTTAAGAGGGAAGTTCAAAGATTTTATTTCATAAACACTTAAAAGAGTTTTTAATGTTATTTATATAACTAAATGTATACTTATGTATCTATGTTGATTATTGAACTTGAATGATAAGTTCACAAGTACATCTTTTCAAGAATGTAAACATGTCTAATGTTTGAAAAGTATTTCAATCAAGTAAGAAGTCCATTCCTTGTAATGGGTGAATTGAGCATAATATTATATCTATTATTTTGAGAGTAGTATCGAGCACCGAGTTGGGTTAGAGTCTCTTATGATTTGGAAGTCCCATAGAACTACATAGCTAGCGTAGAATAGGATATCATTGGCTCTTCATGCAACTCCTCACTGCTTCTGAGAAGGCCAATTAGATGGATCCGTAGTCACAATATCACCCAATACCCCAGCAAAGTTTAGGGTGGCCTTGGCAACATGAGGCGAAACGTTGTATCATTACTAGGCTCATGGTACTGGTTGTCGGTTAGAAAAACTCTCAACAAGTAAAGTATATTATTTTCATTGCATATTATACTGTAAAGCTTTAATGGTTTTTTTCACCTCATATTCATGTATTAATCAAGATATGTTGTTTCAGTCCTTCAAAGCCAAATTATTATTTACTCTAACCTTTTCATGTACCAGTACATTCAATGTGCTGACGTCATTTGACCTGCATCGTTTCATGATGCAGATACAAGTATTCAGAATCATCAACAGGCGAATTATTGAGATCATTATCCACTCACAAACAATATTTGGTGAGGCCTCCTTGCTTTCAGGGGGACTCCATTTCATTTTAGTTAGTAGCTTTAGGAGGTGTCGTGGGTCTTTCCCTGACATCCATCTCACATTGTTAAAGTCTTCGTAGATAGATTGAGTAAATATTTTCCATTGTTTTCTCAGGATGTTCTGTTTAACTCATGGTTCATGTTAAGTATTTTGCAAATGACAGTATTTTAAAATTTTCTTAAATGTTCAATTGTTCACCTATTTAAGCTTTTGTAAATTGTTTAATGTAATGTAAGTCATGTAGCCAGGCCAAAGGTTCACTTGGGGATAAAAAATGGTTCTCGAGTGTCAGTCGCATCCAGGGTGTAGGCTCGGGGCGTGACAAATTTGGTATCAAAGCACAGAGTTCAAGAGTCCTAGGGTGTCTATAAAGTCGTGTTTGTAGAGTCTTAGTTATCGGTGTGAAGTGTGCCACATCTATAATTAGGAGGCTGCGACATTTAAGAAGTATCTCACTTCTTTCATACTCTTTTCGAGCGATAGAGTTTAAATCTATGAAAGCTTCTTCTAACTCGTGCTTACATGTATCTTTCAGATCTCCACAAAGAACTGCTCAAGGACGTTCTGCTAGAAGGAATGTTAACCCTCAAGATCAAGGGGTTCCTAATGCACCATAAGTGCAATCACCTCAGGGAGATGTCACAAATGCTGAATTTAGGAATGCAATTCAAATGTTGACTCAAGTGGTGACAGCACAGGTTGGTCTCCAAGGAGCCAGACATCAAGAAAGACATCAGCTAATTTTTGTTCATCAAATTACTTTTAGTTATTTGTTATTTACTTTATTGTTTTAGCTATTAGTATTTATTTAATTTTAATGTGTTATTTATATAGTTAATTATTTTAATGGCTATAAAAGATATTAGTTCACTGTTTATTTTTGGAATTAAGATTAAAAATTAGCTCACTGATTATTTTTGGAATTAAGAAATGAAATTAGCTCACTAATGTATTGTTAATCTCTACATAACTAAATCGTGCATAACTAATAACTACATAACTAAATATAATTAAACTCTACACAACTAATACATGTATATAACTAATACTTGCATAACTCTATCCAACTATTAAACAATCCCTTAATAGTTTAAAACCGCCTTAAACTTGGTATACTTTATTAAATGCACATCTAAATCGCGAGAAGTCTTAACTACCTCCTCAAACATGATTTTTGGAACAATTTACCCTCCTAAACTATGAGAAATTTCAAGTAACCCATCAAACAAGAGTTTTTAAAACTATTTACCACATGACACAAAAAAATTACTCTGTCCCAGTTTATATAACTCACTTTCCCTTTTAGTCAATTTCAAAAGAAATGACATATTTAACTTTAAAATTTCTATTTTTATCCCTAATGAAATGATTTAAGTCACACAAATATTTATGGCTTATTTTAGACCAAATCACTCGTAAACTTCATGCCAAGTCAAACTACATCACATAAGTAGGAACAATTTTTTTAAATGACTAAAAGGAAAGCAAATTGTATAAATTAGACGGAGTAGGGTATTGTCCCATGTGACATATTAGAGAGTAAATAGTTTCAAAAATCCATATTTAAGGGTAATTAAGATTTCTCATAGTTTATGATAATAAATAATTTTAAAAATTCAGGTTTGATAGTATAACTAAAGCTTTTCATAATTTATGTGCATTTAATAAATATATCAGGTTTAAAGGGCTTTTAAATTATTAACTCTAAAAATAAAATAAAATTGGAGTATATATATGTAAGATAGAGATTAAGAGAGAGAATATTAATAATAATAACTGAACTATTCATTGTTGGAGGTCTGAAGCTGGTGGGAATTAAAAATTTGAAATAATTAAACACGTGAAATCATGCAGTGCATCATCAGAATGACAATGATAATAGATGATTAATAAATTTATTTTTTAAATACTTGTGGAATTTGTATCTAATTTGATTCCTTAAGAGTTGTCTCTTGGATCAGGTGATGTCTAATGATAAAAATAAATGGATAAAACGAAAAGCAAGAAAGAGAATGATTTATTCAGAATTACTACTAAATAATAAGAAGGTACTTTTGGATAATCCACAAAGAACAACTTTTTTTTTTCATTTTCAAACGTATCATACTATGCTTTAAAAATATTCTATGTAGGGATACTACTACCAACTGTATTTTTTTTAAAAAATAATTAATTTTCTAAGATTTGGTAGAGAAAGAAAATCTTTTGACTCAAGTCTGCATAAAACCATTCACTTTCAATGGTTATAACAAAATCAACATTGATTGAAAAATCCAAAAGGGAAGGGATTAGGTGTTCCACTTCTATAAATATAATAATCATGTTATTACTCAAAATATTTATATGCGGAGTTGTGATCTGAGCTAATTTGTATTTTTTATTTATATTTTACGATCCATACAAGTATTCTTCTGGATTATTATGCAAGATATATTTTTCAAATAAAACTTTTTGATCTCTTAATTACAAGGACAGACTCAAACTTATCAAGTTAAACTTACTTATATGCTCTGTCAAAGAAAGTTAATAACATTATCTATTTAGCATGAAACAAGTGCTCTCACATGAAGAAATAGTCACACATTCAATTTATAAATCGAATATAATTTAAGGATTCTTAACAAAGAACAACTCTCGCACTTACAAATGAATTCACATGTATGCTGAAAGAATCATAA